AACGGATATATTTGGCAATCTCCCAATGCTGGAGACTGGAAAAGGGGACCAATAATTTTTTAAAAGCTACTCCAATTTATACTGCCAGAGAGCAAGAGATTAGCGAAAACATGTTTTTAAAAAGAAAACAGAAGGGCCGGCCCGTGGCTCACTCGGGAGAGGGGGGTGCTGATAACACCAAGGCCATGGGTTCGGATCCCGTATAGGGATGGCCGGTTAGCTCACTGGGTGAGTGTGGTGCTGACAACACCAAGTCAAGGGTTAAGATCCCCTTACCGGTCATCTTTTTTTAAAAAAAAAATAAATAAATAAAATAAAAAGAAAACAGAAATAAAACAGGGAAAACGCTACTTGATGTGCACGGTGTTTTGAATATTGCGGTAATTTCTGCATTGTATTCCATAATAAGTGTGCTTGTTCTAGTGCCTACAATGAATACACGTATCTCGGGGCCGGCCCGCGGCTCACTTGGGAGAGTGTGGTGCTGATAACACCAAGGCCATGGGTTCGGATCCCATATAGGGATGGCCGGTTAGCTCACTGGGTGAGTGTGGTGCTGACAACACCAAGTCAAGGGTTAAGATCCCCTTACCGGTAATCTTTAAAAAAAAAAAAAAAAAGTATACACGTATCTCTAAGCCTCAAGATCAAGCTGACGTCCCACATGAACCACGGTCAACCTGAAGCTTCCCTGTAACCCTTACTCAGCTGCCTCTCTTTCCCAGTGAGAAGCGCGAGGGATGGAAGGAGGATTCTAATCCTATTTCCTCCGGTCACTTTGCCTCAGCTATTTTATCAGCGTAAATGGAAAAATCATAGCACTGGTAGAATTTATCGAGCTAATGCACATGGCAGCGCTTAGTCCATAGTAAGCACTCAGTTCATTTTGGCCGAAAGTCATCCACTAATCATCTCCTCGTGCCCTTGAACTTTTCTGAGGCCGAGGGAGGGACTGCTGAGCATGGGTAGCTGGAATTGCAGGGCTGTCAGAGACACCGCGGGCACCTTCACGAACAGCAGGTCCCAACCCCCCAGGCAATCCCGACCTGGGGACAGCAAAGGGGTGGGAAACACGGCCCTTTGGCTGGACTGGAGCCGCCACTTTCCCTTACGCCGCAAACCTGGCCATTTAGAGAGAGCAGAAGAGGAGCGAGTTGCTAGGCAGGACACCAGTCACTCACCCGTAGGTCTGCTCGCCATCTTGACCCGAGAAAGAAGCGCTGCCTTCTGGGTAAGTCCTGGAGGACGCGTCGTACCCTGTACGCAGGCGCCGTCAGTAGCGCCGCGAGGCGCAGGCGCAGTTCTGGGGGCCGGTTGCAGACCCTCGCAGTGCTACCTGTCCGCCGCGGTGAGGCCGGGGGAGTAGGCAGGGCGTTTTGCGCGCTCTGTTCTAAGAAGCATTTGTTGTGACGTGGTGAGAAAAACACTAGGCAAGGAATTAGGGGATCGTGGATTCAGCCCTGGTTCTGTTATGTACTGGCTATGAGAACTTGGGCGATATTAATTGAGCCCTTTTTGCCAGGCACCACGTGAAACGTTTTGTGAGCATATTCTCATTTAATTCTCTCATTTAATCATTAATCTACAAGTTCTATGATTATCCCCATTGTAGAGAGGTGGAAGCTGAGGCTCAGAAAGGTTGAATAACTTGTTCAAAGGCTCACGGCTAGGAAGAATCCAGATACAAATTTGGGCTTCCTTAATTTCAGGGCCATATGCTACACTACTAATAGAGAAAAGACACTAAACCTCTCTGGCTTTCAGTTTCTCCAGCTGAAGATCTACATCAAATCATTTTAGTGGAAGGTTAGGTCAAAAAAGCCTTTTTTAAAAAACCTTTAAAATAGTAAATCTAAGATGTATTGCAGAATTTGCATACAATTTTAAGATGAAAGAGAAGCAAGTACATAAGTTTGCCCACTTTTAAGGTCTGAGCCCTAACCTGAAGTCTTAGGCACAAAAATCTAGGGACAAAAAACAACGGGAGTTAGTATGACCGATGGTCAGTTACTTGTGAACTTCCACCACTACCCAACAATATCTTTTTTTTTTTTTTTTTTTTAGTCTTAAGCTGAGACTTGGGACAATACAGAACTGTCTTGTAAATTCAAAACGTTGCGAGAATAAAAGGTTGCAAGAAGGGTCTTAGTCATATACCAGATCTAAAATTCTATTGCCTTCTCCCTTTTTCCTCTTTCTGTCTCTGTGCCACCTGTTTCTTGTATTTCCCAGTGCTGTCTGCAGTATAAAAACTCATAATGGCTGCTTCCTGCCTATACTAGCCAAAGTGAAGCCTGAAAGGTGAGAAGAAATGCAATGCATTCATACATTGGCACATTACCTTGTAAAGGATGTTTGCAAGTAGTCATTAATGTTGATTCAAAAATTATTTTTGTTTTCTTTGCTCCCAGCACAGAGTAGGGACTGCACTTCTCTGCCCCCTTAGAGTTACACATAGCCATGTGATGCTTTGGCAAAGAAAAATGAGTTTTTTGAAAGCAATTCTCCATACCTTTCCCCTTTCAACCTGTCCACTGAAGATGATGTGGAGCAGAGCCTTTGTGGTCCCAAGAGACATATATGAGACAGAAACTCTTGCAGTTCTCATTTGTTTTAGGTTTGTTCCTTACAGCAGCATAGCTAGCCTGTTCTGCCCGATATGGGTGGGATGCAAAATGAGGTTCTGCACCATATTAAGACCAGGCAGGATGGTTCCATGCTTTGTCTCCCAGCTCTACTTTCTTTCTTGTTTCCTATTTATTTCACCCATTAGAGAACTCCATGAAGGCATATATCTATGCCAGCTGCCACTGTATTCTATGAACTAAATGTCTGTTGAGTGAATTAATAAAACATGTAACAGGAAGGCCACCATACCTGGCCCTGACCAATTATAGTTTCTCACAAGGTTTCTTTCATGACATCCAGCACACCACAAAACCCTGGTGCATAACAAACTACTGACAAAGTCAGTGACTTAAAACACAAATGTTTCTCTCAATTCTGAATTCAGCTGTGTAGTTCTGCTCCATGTGGTGTCTGCTGAGGCTGGAATAGCCAAGATATTCTTCACTCATGTCTGGTGCTCATTTGGCATGGCTAGAACAACTGAGATTTGGCCAGGCATCTTTCTCTCCATCTGGTTTCTCCAGCAGAATAACAGACCTCTTTACATAGTGGCTCAAGGTTCCAAGAGCAAATGTTCCAATAGTATTTGGTGTTCAAGTGCTTATCAAATCTCTGCTTGATAATGTCTTACAGGCCAAATCCCTCTGGCCCAGAGTCAGTGTGGGAGGTGGCTACACAAGAGTGCAAATACCAGGTGTGGTTCATTGGGGGATGACCATGTTAACAGTCCACCCAATCTGGTGACTCTAAAGCAGATACCTGAAGTCATGATGCTTCATTTTACAAATGAAGCAAAGACTTAGATCAAATCATTTGCCCAGGATAGCACATGTGATAAATGGGGGGGGGGGGGGGCCAGTATCAATCCATGCCGAAAATTTTTGCTTACTGGCAGTAAGTCAAAGGTTTGTTAGGTCCTTTTACTATGTCTCATTTATCTTCAAGCTCTTTCTTCCCCATCCTTTTTTCCTTTTCTGATTCTTAGTAGCCAACTGTGGGCAACTTTGAATATCTAAGCTCAGGAAGGTAACAGTGTAGATAATCCAAAATGGAATGTATTTTGTAGCATTATCTGAGCAGTACGCTCCAGAAACTCATAACATTTCAAAAGAAATAAAGCCATCCTGAGATGAAATCATTTTAAAAGACCTTGAATGTAAGAGCAGGAGGATCCTCCATTGTTCTTATCTAGTAAACCAACTCTCTCCCTTTCTCTAAGCTTGCTGTAGCTTTAGTTCTCTTTCCTGAGAAGGAAATGGTTGAATGAAACAAGAATTAAGTCATTAGAAACCCGGGGCTGGCCCAGTGGCGCACTGGATAGTGCGCCGCTTGGGAAGCACGGCGGCGCTCCCGCCCGAGGGTTCGGATCCCACATACGGACCGGTTCCCGCTCACTGGCTGAGCGAGGTGCGGGAGCAACACCGAGGTTTGCAATCCCGTTGCCGGTCCCTGGTCCGGTACGGGGGCAACACTGAGGGTTGCGATCCGTTGCCGGACACGGAAAAAGACAAAAAGACAAAAAAAAAAACCAGCTAACCTTAATTGAACACTTTTCTAAACCTTTTAAAAGAATTAGCAGCAACCCTATGAGTCTTATTTTCATTACAACTAACCCCATTTT